TACCTCGCCAAAGTCGACGGTTCGGGCTGGCTCAAGCACGTGCGACTGGTACACGATTGAGAAGGCGTTGCAACATTCTTTGAGGACGCCAATGACGACAACTAGGTGCTTCGCGGGTCGTGGGAACTTGCCGAGTACGTGCACAGCGGCGTGTCGGTGCTAACGCACTGCAGCGACGGCTGGGACCGCACGCCGCAAATGGTATCGCTGGCTGAGCTCATGCTGGACCCGTTCTACCGGACGCTGGCTGGCTTTCAGGTGTTCAACCAAAAACTTGGAAAAGATTGGATGAAATGCGGTGTAGGTGCTAATCGAGAAGGAGTGGTGCAGCTTTGGGCACCAGTTTGGCTTGCGCTGTGGCCATGCGCGCAGCGACGTCTCGAACGAGCAGCGGTCGCCGATCTTTCTTCTCTGGCTCGACTGCGTCTGGCAGATCATGCGCCAGTTTGAGACTGAGTGCGAGTTCAATGAGAGCTGCCTCCTCCTCCTCGCCGACCACGTGTACTCGTGCAAGTATGGTAACTTTATGTTCGACTCGGAGAAGGCGCGACTCGAGTGCGCCAAGCACCACGCCGCCGCCAACATCTGGGCCGACATTCACGCGTCGCGGGACAAGTTTGTCAACCCACAATTTGCGCCCCAGCGCACGCTCCTCTTTCCAAGCACGACGTGGAAGAATATCAAGTTCGCTCGGTTGATACTGTACATATTGTCTCATACAGTCGTCGTGTAGGCTCTGGAAGGCGTACTTTGCTCGCTTCGACCCGACATTTGTGCCGCCCGTGGCCAAACTCCAGTTTTACTGAGAGGATAGGACGCTTGTATGATATATATTGATACAAAATATTGATACGAAATGGTGATACTTGCGCTGTCTTGGCTGAGGTGGTTGTTGCTGCTGGCCTACCGACAGCGGACACGTGGGCAGTTGTCCGATACTGTATGAACGACCTGCGGCGGTGAAGACGAACACGAGATAATCTGGTGTTCTTTGAATCCAGATATGGCATCATCGTCCAGAGCCATCTTAGGTGCGACCAGAGTGGGAGGTCCCAAACGTCAGGATGCGTTCCGATACTCATCACTCCTGCTAGCATGCATCGTTCGTTCTTGGGACGGCGGAGTGAAGCGTGCCTACGTGAAGTGACGAGTGCCTACAATCTCATACTCTCTTGACAAACCTGCTACACTTCCACCCCTACGCCGTGATGTCGTCGACCAAGGAGTTGTGATCGCGTAAATGTTCTGTCAATGGTGGTGTGCACTCGACGTGTGAGCGGCGGCACCGTACAGTGCAGTATCTGAGAGCAAGCACATTACTGCGGCTGCCTTGCTTGGCCGGACAAACTGTACTGAGGCGAGTGAGAGCCGCCACTTTACATTCGGCAGAATTTGTCGACATCGTTGAAAAGGTACTGGTGTCGTCGGTGCTCCAAATGTGATTGGATCTAGAGGTCATTCGATTCACTGCTGGCCTCTCTGTTCACGCGATGGTGCTTGGGCTGAATTGCGATCGCGAGCGTGCGTAACGACTGGAGCCATCGCCGATCATGCGATCTCTTGACTCGCTTCTCGCACGCCACTTTGCATTTTGCAGCATGTTTCAGCGGGTCTCTCGCTTCCTTCCGCGCCGGCCCACCAAGATGATGCCACCCCGCATCAATTGGTCCCGCGTGACCAAGCCGCGGCCGAGCGCCGTGTACGGAGCCTTGTCGAGCAAAGTCGCGACCTTGAATCTCTACAGCGTCCTCTCCAAGATGCAGTGGACACACCGCCCGACGACGACGCCGGTACGACCTTGCCAACCGCGCTACGTGACCCTTGTGGGCGGCCACGCGGTGCCGTTCCACCCGTTCGAGACGCAGTTTAGCAAAGTCCAGCGACGGGCGCTCGGAAGAGTTCTCTTCGCCATTCCCGAAGACTGCGACAGCGAGACCGCGGACGAGGACGATGCTTGACCATAGTGGCAATGATCCATGTAGACTGTGTTATTTATCGTATGGTGCAACACGATTCCTCGGTCGAAGAGGGACAATATTGTAAACTATGTTTTGAAAACCCTTGTTGTATACGACAATATTCTGGTGGAAACGACGACACGTTTGATTTTTCATCAGTAAAATTTCCAAACAGGCCGTGTCAGATGGGGCGACGGACAAGGCTTCTGGTGCCGCGGATCGTCACGTGCTCGCTTTGCGTCGTGGTGCAAAGCCGCACGAGCAGCGCATTGGACCGCACGTCAAGCGCCTTCCACATGTGGTGCGCATATGTGATTTGCTCGTACGACTGGCCCGGCGCCAAGGTCATGTACGGGACATCCGTGTCGTTGGAGGTCTGCCACACGAGAGCGATCGCAACTGCGGTCGCATTGAGAAACTCGACAACGATCGGCGTCGGCACTGTAGTATCGGAGGACACGCGCAGCGACCGCACGTCGAGGATCTCGACGACACTTGGCCACGATGGCGCCTCGTAGTAGTCGAGGAGCGCGCCGGCATGCGTGATCTTCCACACGTGGCCTGCGTACGTGTCTTGCGTGTAGAGCATATCGGGTGCGACGTGGCTGTACGGGACGTCGACGCCGTCTTCATCGACCCAGAGAATGTCGACGGGCGACCGGAGGCGGCACACAAAGGTGATGCGGGTCGGCTGCTGGCTCGTCGGCGACCGACGACGCGGCGCATCGAGCGGTGGCGCCGATGGCTGCTGCGTCGCAATGGTCGTCCTGCATGGCGCGGTGGCGGCTTCGTGCTCGAGGATCGCTTGCTTGAGCGAGTAGTTGGGCATAAGCTCCGTGGACGGCAGCTCTTCGTTGGTCACGGGACTCCGCCGGTGCGACTGGAACCAGCGCGTGATCTGCGCCCGCTCGTACGAGTGGCCATCGCGCGCGATCACGGGGTCGCGCATGATCTCGCACGAGATCGGGCACAGGAACGACTGCAGTCCGGCCATGTTGCACTTTCGATCGGATTGTGGTGGAACAGAGACCATCACTCTGATATGTCGTGCAACGCAACTTCAAACCGGTTCGTGACATCAAATCCTGTGGTAGCTTTACATAATTGACATAATAGAGTGGCAAGTCGATTGTGAAGGTCAAGAGAAACACATACCACCTCTATGCGGCTTTTCCCGGCTCGGTCGCAGCAGCCAAGCCGAAGCAGCCCTGGCATTCCCTCGCACAACTCGGCGATTTTGATCGTAAAAAGTGTACATTAGAACGTTGTCGTTATAAATAATTTAGGCGCGAGGGACCTTTAGTCGTCGTCCTCATCGAGGGCCTCTTCAATCACGTAGAGCTTCTTGCCGAGGGCTCGGCGCTGGTTCTTGCTCCACTCGGTTTCGTAGGGACGGAACGGCACACAGTGCCCACCCACGATCGTCAGGAACCGGAATTGCGCCGGGCGCGTCGGCTTTATTGGGCGGTGCGTCCAGTGCACCTTGGAGAGGACGCTAAAGAGGTGCAGGCTCGGCACATTGGCGCTCGAGAGCGCGCCAAAGACTGCATTCGGCCGGGGCTTTGTGACGCGGGACCAGTTGATCGGGTGCGTCGTGGCCTGGCGCGACGAGGCAAGGATGCGGCCGAACGAGGAGCGTGTGAGCATGATCAAGCAAAACAAAAAGTGAGAAGCGATGGGCACCGTACGATCGCACGGTGGTACACTTGTACCGTCTATTCCAACCCCATTTTTTAAAAAGTGCTCGCGCCAAATTTTTTTGCGCGACAACCGAAAACAGGCGGCGAAAGATAGATGTCACGTGTGATAGAGAGCGTAGGAAGCGTCCCGTTCCAACGAGCATCCATGGACAGCCACGTCCTGCTCAGAAACCGAGCGGATTTTAGAGCGCTACTTCAGACAGTGCATCGGCAAGGGTGATGGGAAGCACCGAAATATTTAGCTAGGCTGTATGGCGATTCGCAAACGTGGTCAAATGTAGAAGGCTTGGCGCTTGATGGGGAGCCGCGGCTCTTGACGGGCACGTAGTATCATCCTACAAGCGGTCTCCTGCGCTTTGAATATCTTGAAATTGCTCGACAGAACGGAAACACACAAGGCGGAGGTGGGGTCATGAGCATGCTTCTTCCTGTTGGTTTTACACGACATATATGGAAGTGTGATTCGCAGCTCAACTGAATAAAGACGTAGGGTACACGAGAAACTCTAGCACAGCAGCCTGCCTGGCAGCAACGACAAATCGCCATTGTTAGTCTCGCAAGTCGCAAGGGCCTGTCGCAAGCGGTCGGCCGTTGATGTCGTATTTGTACTACAGCTTGGCTTGAGTGTCCAAGCCTAGAAAAACGTACACTTATATGCATGCGCTTCACGTCAAAGCTTGATCCTCCAGATAACGTGGAATAATGATTGAATTAACAAGAAGGACATCGACTTGAACGCTACGACATGTTGTCTTCGTCGCACGTCTCCACAACGGAGCGGAGTTTGTTACTGGTACTTTGGTGATGTCCGCTTCGAGGCGCAAGTCGGCGGTGCGTCAAGGGTGCCAGCGTCAACGGCGCTTTGGTTGTTGTTGTTGTCAGTGGGGTGCGGAGACCCGTCGAGGGGAACGGAGACGGCGTGGGGGCTCGAACGTACTTGCGCGGCTTCTGCTCGAGCCGGCGCGCTTCCTGCACTTCGAGGGCTTGAAGAATCTTGGTACCAAACATGGTGGAGTGTGTTGAACGTGGGCAAATGCAAACTGACAGGGACGGCGCGATCTTCCAGCGTTGGAATGACCGCGAAAAAATTGCCCGAGACCAGCCAATCCGCGGTCCGTTCGATCGAGCCCACCCAATGAAAACGCTGTAACGGTGACACACGCTGGAGCCAAATTTATGTGCTGGTTCGACGCCGATCCTCGCATTAAAACATCCCAAAGGTACTTCGACAAGAAGCGAGCTGATCGCAGCGACACGGACGTCGACTTCACATGAGGAACAGCATATTCGTTGTCCAAAGAGGGAGCGCATGGCTGCTGGCAGCGCACGACTCATGTGATGCAAACGCCCGGCTCTTTCCCGCTGTCGAGGATACAATAATCCGAGACCAGTCTACGCCCAACCAACTTCAAGAGCGAGAGCGCGGGCGGGAAGCGGCTGGTCTACGCCGGTGTCGCATGCGGCGCCTTCACGCGTGCAACGATATGCATCGGACATCAGGCATCAACATGACCACCTCCGATGACGCAACGACAAGTATTGCGCGGGCCTCCGATCCCAAACTTTTTCCATGCAGTTTTCTTCAAGTTCTAGGACCTAGGATCATGGGCATAAAATCCCATTCGCTAGGACGAGCCAACCTATATGCTCGGATGTGCAATCGGCCACGCTTGTTTTGAGATGATTGGGCTATGTAGTAGGGTAGTAGGAAGCTGACTAAGTTCTGATCGCTAACGAGGCAGCACTGGTGAACGTGGGCGGTGTTTGGTCCCGTTCGATGGTAAGAGGACGTCGAGCGAGTCGCTAATGCGAGCAAAGACGCGTTGGACCTTGACGCCGTCGAGGCCTTCGTCTGTGAACGGATCTTCGAGCGCCCTCTCGACGTTGAAGATGCCAATCATGAGGAGGCTCGTTACGACGCTCAACATGAGCGCAAAGCCGTAGCTCGTCGGCCCCGTCGTCGCCACGTACACATAGTAGGGTCCGTAAAAGAGAGGCAGAAGCAAGATGACGAGCCGTGTAAAAGACCGCGTTGCTTGCGGCGTCCGGTACAGCTAGCACCCCATTGATCAACCTATCGACGGCATATACAACGCAAAACCCCTCTACCTTGATGTTGCAGAGCTTCTCGAGGCGCGCTTGGAGCAACCAGTGGTATTGGTTGATGCGCGACGCCTCGTTCGCGGGCAGTCCCACGGCCTTCATGACCTCGACTTGGCCATGGAGGAGCTGGATCGAGTACGTCACCCGGCGCGCGAGGCCGTGAAAGTGATCCAGGAACGACGACGCTTGGTCCTTCCCGACGCTTGTGAACTGATGGCGGCCGCGCGTAAATGTCGGCAGCGTCAAGATGCGCTGCAGATCGGCGAGCACGGTCCGCAAGAGTTGCTTGGTGATAGAAGCATGCTGCACAGGCAGCTTGGCCCGTTCGTTCTTGCCCCAGTCCCACATGACGTGCGCCAAGAGCACATTGCAGCTCAGCGCTTTGACTAGACACCACATCGCTTCAATCCGCGACGTTCTCCTGTGCGATATACCTTCTGCGAGGAGGTCCAGCGCGAGCTCTCGTCGGGTAAACGCTTGCCGGATTTGCATAATCTACACTCGGCTCCTCAAATATGACGCCCTCGGTACGTACTGCTACCATGGGCGAGACGACGGCGAACGAGACGATGGTCCACGAGAGATTCGCGGCAAACGACGGTCCGTCCGTTGCAACGTGCGCGTGAAAGTAGGCGCTCGTCGAGACGATCGAGAGGCCGACGACGAACACCTACAATATCTCTCTCATATGTACGATGCGATAAGAGCGTAGTACGGTTTCCAGCGAGAGCAAGTGCAGCGAGAGGATGATCGCGGCTGCGTACAAGTCCAAGCACACGTCGCGGCAGTGGGTCCAGACGGCGCCGCTGCTGACGGCGAGGAGCGACCGGTCCTCGGTGCCTGCAAAGGCGTCGAGCGTTTGCTCGAGCGGAAGGTCGTCAAACGTTGCGTACAGTTGGGCCACGAGCGGGTCGTTGACCTCCTCGTCCTCGTCCAAGACGGTCGTCGACGCATGGAGCAATGCTTGCATCGTGCGACGATTGCAAGGCGTTACAAAGTACTCCGGCGGGTCGGATCTCGATTCCAGAAGATTGATTGTTGCTTTTTTCTTGGAGCCACCATTAGACCGATTGCGGATCGTTTAGGGTCGACTTGAGACTGTTCGCTTAGAGCCAACATAAGACTGATTGCTTCTTTACGTTTTAGCGCTAGACTCTATTCGTCTGTGGGCGCGACCCAGCCGTCAATGGTCTGGACGATGAGCGGCAGCACCGTATCAATCGAGGCTTGGCTGCGACTGTACAGCGTGACTTGGACTTGGAACGAGCGCTTCTCGACGTCAATATGGTCCTCTAACAGCACGCGACTTTGCTAAAGGAAACGCGTTCGCGGGTTGTACCTTTGGTGTTGACGTAGCTGCCAATCATGACGGACGGGTACTCGTTCTGGATCTTCTTGAGGCCCGCAGCGATGGCACCTTCAAAGAGGTGCGTCCGCGCCTGCATCGAGCGGTCGAGCTTGCATCATCTTCATGCTTGCGTACCTTGGCTTGCAAGATCGGGACACCCTGGAAATGGTCTTCGTTGGACTCGATCATTTGATGCAAGAGACGCGGAATGCCCGGCAGGATGTACACATTCTCGACGGCCACAATCGGCACCTAGGGCGTGGTATCTTTAAGCAAACAAACAAACAAAACTCGCTTGTTGACATACCCACGTCGATGTCTTTAGCACGTTGGCTCCTAGAGTACCATCCATTGCGCATGAGCAACGGACGAGACAGGATGGCAACGGTGGTGGACAAACTGACCTTTCGGAAATGTGACCATACGCAGACGATCTTCGTTGAGTTCTTGGCCCTTGGCTTCGAGGAAGCGCTTGAGGTCGTCGCGCGTAGGGCCATGTACTTCCATGGGCACATCAAAGGCGGCGGCCTAACATGCCACCATCATACTTGTGGGCACGGGCGTGCAATGACGGGAAAGTGCGTACGATGCTTTCGTACGTAATGTCGTCGTGCGTCGGGCCAATGCCACCTATACAAACGTATGAGATGTAGCAGCTCTTCTGTGGCCAAGAGGAGTACCCGACGTGAACACGTAGCCCGTCGGCCCCACGAGCTTGACGAACGACTGCACCGTCTCGGCAATCACCTAGTACGTCCTTGCCGCATGAGCTTACGTGTACCCGCCTTCAAGGAGCCTTGCCTCAGCGTCGTCAGGAATGACGCTAATGCGTGCGAGGTCAATGCCACGGCGAAAGAGAAACTTGGCGAGGTAGTTGCTGTTCGTGTCCAGCGTCTACAACGGCCATGAGGATACTGCCGTCTTGGCTGCAGCCGACCTTGCCGCTCAGCACTTCGTTCGCAATGACGCAGATCGCAGCCTTGGGCGGCGACGTTGTGTGGCTCATGTTGCGCGCTTGGATCGATCGGACGACGTGCAAGGACGACGAGACCCGGGCGAGCATCCCAAATCCAAAATGCACCGCCTCGTGTATTATTCCAGTAAAGTGCGCTTTGAATCATTTATTCTTTGTATGTGTCTCGCCAAGTACCTCGCACTTGAAGGCGTAGGGTGGGTCCTGCTTTCATATAGGAAGTCCATCGAATTCACACGTTTTCATTGACACGGATATAGTGTTGACATATTCGTGGCATGGACCCACGGTCTTGGTTGGTGTTTCGTGTTACTCGGCCACGTCGTCTCCAGTGCACACGATTTCACATGAGAATGGGTTGCTGCTATGGACGGTCCTGCGCATAGTATTGCACTAGGACAAGGTACATTTGACCATCAAAGTACACTATTTAGGTGCTATTGGTGGCGAGCCAATCAAATGGCCATTGCCGAAAATGATGATGCACCGCTGGATCGGTCGCCCGCCACGTGCGCTGGCTGCGCGCTTCTTCTCGCAGGACACCATCTATGCGCTTTCGTCCGCCGAAGGCCGCGCCGGCGTCGCCGTTGTGCGCATCTCGGGGCCGATGGCCGACGCGTGCTTGGCGCAGATGACGACGACACCTGCGTTGCCCGCGCCGCGCCTGTTCGCAACCACTCTCCTCCATGCGACCATCTCACCGTTGCGCCTAGGGCGGCGGTGCGCAAGATCTACCACCCGCACACTAAGGAGCTCCTCGACTCGGCGATGGCCATCCGGTTTCCACAGGTACCTACCTACCTGACCACATCGATCGTATCGTCATTTTGCATCGTCACGCGCGTAGTTTTACGGGCGAAGACATTGTCGAGTTGCATTTGCACGGTAGTCGACCGGTCGTAACCGGCGTGCTCGAGGCGCTCTCGACGATCCCAGTACTCAATCCATGCATGCGGATCAAGTATGTATGCAATGGCGTAGACCTGTCGACCGGCCGAAGCCGGCGAGTTTACCGAGCGCGCGTTTGAGAACCACAAGATGGACCTCATGCAAGTGGAAGGCCTCGCGGATCTTCTCAACTCGGAGACCGAAGCGCAGCGCAAGCAAGCTCTGCACCAAGTACGACCTCCACCTTTATCGATCTACCTCTTCATGTACTGCATAGATCTCGGGTTCTGTCGGAACGGTCTTTGAGGACTGGCGCTCAACGCTGGTGCGTTGCATGGCCCACGCCGAGGCCAACATTGACTTTGGCGACGACGAAGACGACGTGACGGACGCGGCGTACGACGCTGTCGTGGACAAGTGAGCAACAACAACAGCATCATTGTGATGGCAGCGTCATCACACGAGGCGCACGGACTAGGGTGCGTGCCCTGGATGCGTCCATTCGCCGCCATCTCGCCGATGGTCGGCGCGGCGAAATCCTTCGCAACGGCGTTCAAGTTGCGATCCTCGGATCGCCCAACGCTGGCAAATCGAGTCTTCTCAACGTTTTGGCACAGCGCGACGCAGCGATTGTGTCGCCGATTGCAGGTAGACACACATTGACGCAACCGATGCGATGCGATTCATGCAGGCACGACGCGCGACATTGTGACGGTCCCCCTAAACCTCGCGGGGTACCCGGTCACGCTCAACGACACGGCTGGTATCCGCGAGACCAACGACGGTACGAACTTTCAAGCAATATTGATGTCGTCATCTTGTTTGGAGTTAGTCATCGAGCAGGAAGGCGTCTCACGCGCGCACAAGTGCCGCGAAGACGCCCACATCAAGATCCTCGTCATTGATATTCACGTACCTGTGACGCTGCATGCAAAAGTGTCTCACACGCGCCTAGTCGTCGGTGGATCCGCAACTGCTCCAGCTTATTGACGCCAACACCATTGTCGTCCTCAACAAACTCGACTTGGCGACGCGGACGCTGCCGACGTTCCACGTGACTCGATGGAGGTCGTCTTAGGATCGAATCCAAACAGCGAAACTAGGTGCAAGCAGCGGCCATCTGCCCCATTTCGTGCGCCGACGGTGCGGGCATTGATGCCTTTCTGAAGACACTCCCAGCACGTCCAGTCCATGTATGCCACTATCGCAACGGGTGCAATATACTAATTAGATGCGTTTTAGGTTTGCGGGTGTCAACGACGACGTACAAGGCCTTTTGATCACGCGCGAGCGCCACCGCACGCACCTCCAAGACTGCGTGACGCATCTCGAGGCGTTTTTGAGTCACCCGTACCAGGTACATTGCGTTCTCCAGTAGCAGAACCGTGATGTGCGATGGACTGAACTAGTCGGAGCTCGCGGCCGAAGACCTCCGCCGTGCCATCCAGGCAATCGGCCGCATTCTTGGACGCATCGACGTCGAGGACATTCTCGACGTCCTCTTCCGCGATTTTTGCATTGGCAAGTAAACATAGTATCAATCCAGTATCAAGTGAGCTTTTCAATGGCGCGCAGTGCGGTTTTGGCCATGGACGAGTGACAGCCCGAGCCGATCTCAAAGAGCGTCTCGCGGTGCGGCGAGCACAGCGTGGGGTACTTGGAGACGACGGTGAAGAGGACGGTGGCGAATTTGACCGACTTTGTGTGGCGTGATAGCGCGGCTTGCATGGCATCGACGACGCCGTCGATCGTCCTCTACACGCAACCAGCATGGCAACAAATACTGTTTACGCATTGCCATTATGAAGGGTACCTGGGAGAGCGCGGCTTTGAGGTTGAAGAGCGTCTGCAGCACGAGCAGCATGCGATCGGACGTCATGAACGGCGACGCTTGCCGGTCGGCGACGACGCGTTGCACGAGCGCATCGATGTGCGACGCATGGAGACCGTCGCGGAGTAGCCGCGTCACGATTTCGCACTGGGGCGCCTTCTCCGACAAGTCTGGTGACGTCATGATGGGCACGAGAAGCTGCTCGATGACGACGCTCGCGTGGTCGCTGGCGAGGCGCGAGAGCACTTGGACAAGACCGCGGGAGATCGCATTCGGCGACGCCATCACGTTGCGAAAGAGACTGATCGCGACGAGGTGCATGGACGCACGCAAGCTCCACTGCGCGTCGAGAAGCTTCCTAAGACGACGAGGATGTGTACAATAGACTTCAGATGTGTCAACGCACGAGCAAAAGACGACGAGGGCTTCGTCCGGCAGCGTGTCTAGCTGCAGCTTGTCGCCGAGAACCTCGAGCTTGGCCATGATGGGCTCGGGCCCCATGGTGATGTCGAGGCAGAGACTTAGAATGTCGTCGCACACGGAAGCGACTTCGCCGGCGACGTGCCCCGTCAATCGCCCGATCGCTTTGAGAAGGAGCGCGACCTTGGCTTGATGCTACGAACGACGACACGATGGTGCATCGTACTTCAGGTCAAGAGTTTACCTCGGGTGTGAGCTCGATGGCAGCTGGCGGCGCGTCGACAGCACTGTCCGTCTCTTGCTGCAATGAGGCGTCGATTCCTGCGTGTTCTTGCGCCTGCATCTTGAAGCTGAGCAGGTCGAGAGGATTCACCTCGTCGTCGTCGAGGTCGATCTCGATGCATTCGGGGCTGTTGGTATCGAGACGCGGTCGCTTGGACGCTGCACGGTCAGCATCATCCGCATTGTTGTCCATTTCAAGCGCGTCGTCGGTGGCGGGAACAGCCTTGCACTGGAAGAGAGGTGCGACAACAAGCCCATCCGCGGGCTCTAGTCGCATACCGTCGTCTGGCACAGCATCGTCAGGACAGAGCGCCATCTGCGCCAATACAAGCACATAGGCATCCGCGTCCAGAGATCGCAGCGTCGCTAGCGTTGACTTGCGCGTCGCAGCGTCGATGAAGCGAAGCGTGGGCTGCTGCAACAGAAGCGCGCTCCACATATCCCGCTTCCGGCGTAGCGGCACCTGCGTTTGCAGGCTCGCCTCGAGCACGAGCGCAAGCACTGCATGGGCGTAGCCTGCATGATCATCGATGTAGGCCATGAGGCCAGGGACCCCGCGATGGGCGGCGAGGAGCAACGTCGTCGCGCTTGGCGCGGCCATGGCACGGATCTTGGTGCTTGAACTCCAACACGAGTCTACCTCCTAGAGTTGATAAGTTGCATTCGAATAAAACACACCACTTGGATTTAACGATACTATTGAAAACTAAAACCCTTCACATTCGATAATTTAGAACCCACTGCAGCAACATCATCTTTAGCGCCATGGAGGACAAGCATCCAGGTGGCGACTACCACGAGATGCTCCCGTCCAAGGCGTCGCGACGTCCGCTGAGCAAGCAAGATGCGCGCCGCAGCTTTATCGAGCTCACGCGCCAAGCCTCAATGGGCCACACGTCAGCACCGACCACGGGCGGCGGCTGGCTCTCGATCGACACGCCGCTCCACGAGAAGAGCACAGACAACGACGACGACGACGGCGACGATCTGGGTAGCAGAGCGCGTTCCCATGACCCACCGTCGCTCGGGATGCGTGCAAAAAGCAACGTTCGCATTGGCAGCTTGGACTTGTACGCAGCATTCGCGGTCTTTGGCTACTACCTCGTGACGTTTGAGACGCTTGTGGTCTCCTTCAACACGGTGCTGGCCACGTCCGCGTACTATTACATCGACACGCACACGGACGCTGTCTTCAACTACAATCTTTCGTGGACGCTCGTGACCTTTGCCATCGTCTCGCCCATCATCATGCAGACGCAGCAGGCGTACAACCGCCGCGAGAACGCGCTCTTGCTCGTGGCTGAAAGTAGGTTGTTGGAATTCGATATATCGGACTATGGCGGTGTTCTGTCTAGCCAAAGCCCTTATGCTCAACGTGTACGTGGCCCACCACCAGTGGATTGCGCCGGCCAAGCAAGCGTGCGTCCCGACGACGCTGCTTACACGCACGCGGCTGCTCGTCCGTGGCATCATGTACGACCTCTGCGAGCTCGTGAGTCTGCCCAATGTCACGCGCGGGCGCCACCGGTTCACATCTACTGGCGTCCGCGAGTCCCAAGCGCAACAGGCGCAGCAGCAAACGCTGCGATCCCGCCTCGCCGTCGGCTTGGAGCAGCTCCACGGCCAAGTGCGCGATCTGAAATGCCATGGGCTATCGGAAGGCGAGGCGTCGCGTCTGTACCAGTACCTCTGGATGATCCACTCGCGCGTGCTGAGCTTGATCAACATCAAAATGTACCGGACGCCGCAAGCGACGCGGTCGTTCACCAAGGTGCTCGTGCATATCCTGCCGTTCTTTTACGGTCCGTACTATGTCAACGTGGCGTCGGGCGACGGGTCCAGCAACCGCACCAACTTTGCGTTCGCACTGGCGTTTGCGATCTTGACGAGTCTCATGATGATTGGCATCCTCAACGCCCAAGAGGCCCTCGAAGACCCGTTCAGCGGGGATGGCCTCGACGTCGTGCACATGGAGAGCATGTTTGATCGGCTCGAAGAAGACATGGCGGCCATGAACGACGGCGCCATCTAAGGCATGCATCCTAAATCCAACGTAGTTCGATGGGCGAAAACTCGACGGGTCAAGCGGAAGTCACTACTAGTATAGCGCTGGCGGGTGGACGACATTTGCATAACACGGCCATCCAACGCCAAAGAAACCAGACAAGCCAAAAGCAACCGCCGAATCGATGCCGCTGCAGTTGATATACTACGCCGTCTTCGTCGCTGGAAGCAGGTAAGAGTCGAAAGATGAAGTCGTTCGTGAGCATTAAAACGTTAATGGCTCGGGCGGAAGCGCGAGAAGCCACGGATGATACTCCATCATATCGAGCGTCATGCGCTGGCTCGGATCCTTCTCCAAGAGGCTCTGCAGCAGCTCGATCGCGTCGGGGGAGACCTCGGTCGCAGGCACCTCTATCGGTTGCTCCACAATGCGCTCAAAGAGCTCCTTTGGGCTCTCGGCTTGAAACGGCAGCTTCCCAAAGAGAAAGATGTAGAACGTGACGCCAATCGCCCACAGATCGGCCTTGAACGGATCGTACGGCGCGCCGTTGCAGCACTCGGGGGCCCAAAACTCGAACGTTCCCGCCGTGTCCGTGATAAGCGACCCAGGAGCATACGTCTGCGCGCAGCCAAAGTCCGACAGGTGACACCGGTCTTCGTCGTTGAGGAGGAGGTTGTCGGGCTTGATGTCGCGATGACAGACACCCCGTCCATGCAGATACGAAACGCCGTGGAGTAGGTCCAGCACGTGGTTCCGAGCCAAGTCTTCATGCAGCACGCCTCCCGTGATCGGGCTCTCAAAGAGCTTGGAGGCGGCTCGCCATACCATGCACGGCCCTTTGGCCATGTGCTCAAGCACGAGGTAGATCTTGTCGCTCCGCGGATCGTTGATGACTTCGAAGAGCAGCACGACATTGCGGTGGTACAAGGTCGCCATGATGGCAATCTCAACCTCCACCTTCTCGAGCGCCGTGACGGCGCGCATGCTCGTGTCATCACGAACGTACTCCTTCATCTTGGCGAGCGCGGGCTTGGACAGAATCTTGAGCGCAAAGGGGCGCGGCGGCGCGCCATCGACCACGCGCTCGCAGAGCTTGACCTTGGCGAACGCTCCGCGGCCCAAGAGATCCTTGATGTGGTACTCGTTGACGACGTCGGGCGTCGGCGACGTCTCGGTTGTCGTCAGCTGGCTTTGCCACGCTGGCGCCTCCATCGCAACCAGAAAGTGCAATTTCAAAGTGCCTTCTGATTGGCCAAATTGTTTTACGCAATGCCATTGGCTCTATAATTTGGCCAATGGCACCCAACGTACCACACAAGATCCGAGAAATGGAAGGGCCGCGACGGGCACCACCACCGGTGCCCGTGCTCCACCCCAAGCAAAAGCTGCTCGCGATCCTCCAAGAAAAGGTACATCGCACCACGCGAGGAGGTGTGCAAAGTGGTTGGTGTAGACCTATGAGACGCGCCAGAACTTGCTGGCGGTCGAAGCCCATGGGTCACCTCGCCACCAGGCGATCCATTCCAACGACGGTTGCATCCGGCGCACAGTGTCGAGGCATCGACTTCCGCATTGCAACCCCCAGCCCCATCGAGGACGAAGCCCCGGGCGCGACACTGATGCGGCACTTGCAACAAGCCAAGCGCGACAGAGACCGCTTGGGTATGAAAGGGTGCCCAGCATTTTGACGCACACGCTGCTACTAGGCGCGTCACCTGTGTCCAAACTCGTGCAAATTCCCTTCCGCCAAACAGCGTGGCGACCACACATTGCAATCCGACCGTCTAGCATTAGCCTTGAAACTCGTCATCTAGATGAAACACCTCACACGCCTTGACGTCCCACGCGGGCTCTTCGTCCTCTTCTTCGTCTTCCGTGTCTGCGCCAAGCGTTCGAGGGCCAAACTCGACAAGGGCAAACGACCCGGACGAGAACCAACCTAGAACACATCTCGTAGTAGAACATCATTGGCGTCGGTACAAACAACTTACCAGGGCGCAGCAACACTTGGCCTTTCTCTATCCAGTCGACGCTGCCGAGGCTGCGCTCGCTCAGGCCAATGCGGCAACACCACGGCAGCCGCGCCAGCTTGCGGTACACGCTACATTGACTCTCGTCAATCGCGTACTTGGTTCGGAGCTCCATGGCCACATGACCATCGATGGCCGACGACCATCCCTCAACGACGAGTTCCGAGAGCGACGTGCGGCCGCCATCGGTCTCGGGCAAGAGCACGGTCGGCGCGCCGTCGCAGTTGATCGAATAGGGCGTGAGCTTGGGCAGGAACGGCTTAGTTGTCGGGCGCTTGGTCGAGCTCGGGTCATATGGGCCAGGCACGTAGACGACGCGGCAAACGATCATCTCGAGGCGCGAGATGAGCGCCGTCATGTCGCCTTCAGCGGCCGCGAGCTCCTCGGGCGATTGGAGCCCGGCCGGCGCGACGAAGCTGCCGCAGACGAGGACGACGTCTACGGAGCGGTGGCGGATGACGTAATCGCACAGATCGTTGACGCGGGCGATCGCGTTGCGGATGTCCGCGACCACGAGCACGTGGAGGGCGTCGGGCATTTTGCCCAAATTTGGTTAGCCAGGCGGGCGTTGTCCGGAAAATGTCCGGATAACCAACCAATCAGACGGCGTTCTATTTTTAGCCGACGCGCAAGGTGTTTCGAGTGTCATTCTGCTGCCGCGCCGACGACGACGATGAACACAATCTTCACCCAGTGCGAGGTAGACATGTCGACGCATGCGTTCGCTTCCTCATGCATGTGTATGATGCAATCAGAGCCCCGAGGCCCAGCCCATGTACACCTGGTACGTCGACACCTCATGCTACATGCCTCGGAGAATGCTACATGATCCAACGCATAGCGAGGTGTGCAAGATCAGCATGCGCTCGGCGAAAAAACTCGAAGACCACGTCAACCACTCGCCGCTGCACAAGGCGGCGATGCAAGAGTCGGAGCTCGCGTTCCAGCTCGAGCTCAACGGCGGGGTAGATACACGACCTTATCGGCGACGGTTTGTGTTGCATTGCGCTGCATAGCGGGACGACCGCCCGAGCTCGCCGTGCCGCCAGCGCCTCATTTATGACGGCAACAAACTTTTCTGGCGCATCAACGAGACGCTCGAGTTGCACATGTACGAAGCCATCAACGTCCGCACGATCACCGTCTTGGCGCAGAAGGATCACTCGCGCGAAGTACGTACGGCATGGACGAGGCTTCATGCTTGGCAGCAGCACCCTGACGCATATCGTGTAGAAGATCAAGCCGCTCGTCCTCGACTTGACGCTCTTACACAAGTGCATTGCAAGCCCCAGTACGACGGCGGAAAACAAGCAGCAACCCGACGAGGACATGGTATTTCCGTATCAATGTCCCGTGCAAATCCCAATGCTCGACTTTCGTCTAGAGCTCGGCCGCCAAGCGCGAGGCCATGATCAAGTACATTTTGGCGCGGCTTCAAGCCATCAAGGACAGCGGTGATGCCATCACGCTCTACATTCAAACGCAAAATGGTGACCTATGCGACCCGACAACGACCGCAGACGCAGGGCGAACGTACACGATCGAGCCCGATTCACTAGTGCCTCGGCGTCGCCACACGTACGACGAAGCCAAAGTTGTTCAGAAAGACCTCGACCACCACACTGCGGCTCTCAAGTCGTCGCGCCGCGCCGCCGAGAAGCATAGCGACAGTATTCGCTTGGCGCTCGACGCATTCATCGACCTCGGCACGTCCGTCAAGACGCGACCACATGACAACGGAATCTCGTGGCTCGGGGCATACAGCCGCGTGCGCCAGCGCAATACGGTCGAAGTCTTCAAGGAGCGCATGAAGCATGGCCACGACGGCCCGGGATCGCCGTCGTCCAAGGCCACTGACCACAGCGAGTACAAATTCTAAGCTCCATCGTCCTCTCTAAATGCATGCTTATACATACTACCGTGTACTACCTCATCTTTGCGGCCGCGCGGGTTGTGCCGAGCGGATTCGAATTCCTCTTCTATTTTCGTTCATAGGCGACAAACGACCACAGCACTCGCAGTATCGCATGTCGGGGCGTCCTTTACATCGCGTTCCAGCTGAAGGTCACATCGCCCGCCTAGCTCGCCCGCCTCGTTGCGTCGCGCACCCGGTCTCACAACCCAGCTCTTATTCATTCGCATCTCCGCCCAGCCCGACCATCTCCCTTTTTGTCAAATCGTACCTTTTTTTGGCATCCGCATAGTATAAAAAGTGCAAACTCACAACCGAGCAGCAACACTAATTTCTTGTGACTGCCACCGTCGCAATCAGAAGAGCATGGCCGAGCCCCTCGCACCTGTACCGCTCGTGCGCGTCGAGGCCGATGGCTCGTTCCACCTCGACGACGCCGCCGTCGCCAAGCTCGACAAGATCAAGGGCAAGATCGCCATCGTCGCCGTCGCCGGCCTCTACCGCACGGGCAAGTCGTTCCTCCTCAACTTGCTCGTGAACGCGCAGAGCCCGGACGCGGTCGCGACCACGGGCCATGGCTTTGCGGTTGGCGGCACCATCAACGCGTGTACAAAAGGCATTTGGATGTGGGGCGAGCCGTTCGTCATGGAGGACGGCACGTCGGTCATCTTTCTCGATACCGAAGGCATTGGGTCGGTCGACCGCGAGCAGACGCACGACACGCGCCTCTTTGCCCTCGCGCTGCTCTTGGGTTCGTACTTTGTCTACAACAGCCGCGGCGTCATCGATGGCAACGCCGTCGAAGACCTCTCGCTCGTCGTGAACCTCTCCAAGCACATCCAGACGTCGGCGACGTCGCAGACCAACCCGGGCGCGCTCCATGAGTTTTTCCCATCATTTCTCTGGGTCGTGCGGGACTTTACGCTCCAGCTCCAAGACAATGGCAAGGAAATCACGTCCAAGCAGTACCTCGAGAACGCGCTCAAGCCGCAGGTAGTAGCCACCCCACGGTGCACCTGCCACAATGCGAACTTGATGCGTAGGGCGGCTTCTCGGCCGACGTGGCGGCGCGGGACCAGATCCGACTTCTCCTATCCGACTTTTTCCGCGACGTAGAGATCTACAATCTGTCCTCGGCATCTCAGTTATGATTTGTAGCGCGACTGCGTGACGCTCGTGCGCCCCGTGGAAGACGAGGCGCAGCTCCGAAACTTGCCCAACGTCCCGTACGGCGAGCTCCGCGAAGAGTTCCGCACCAAGTTTGAAGCGATGAAGAAGCGGCTGTTTGAAAAGGCGGCGCCCAAGTGCCTCTTTGGGAAGGCACTCAACGGCGCCATGTTTACGAATCTCGCCAAGTCGTACATTGAGGCACTCAACAGCGGCAAGGTATCCATCCGTCCCCGACACGTTGATTTGATTCAGACTATTGTCCTTAGGCGCCGGTGATTTCGAGTGCGTGGTCCCGCGTCGTGCAAGCGCAGTGCGAAGACGCGGTGGACGAAGCGGTCGAGCAGTACAAGAAGCAAATGAACACGCGGGTCGCCGACTACATCGAAGGCAAGGAGAACTTTATCGACATGCTCGAGAATGAGGCCAACGACGCGATCGAAGCGGCGTCCGACACGCAAATCGTCAACGTCGGCGCGGGCACGGCGCAGTTTGATGAGTTTGGCAACCTCAAGCGGTTTGTGCAGCCGCCGCCCGAGCCGCCGAGCGACCTCTTCGTGTCGGCGACGACCGTGGAGGACGCGGTGACGCCGCCGCCAGCGCCCATCGTCAAGGAGGCCATCTCGCTGCCGGCGCCGACAGCCGATGTGGATGCGATCCACGCGCTGTGCTTGAGCCATGCGGAAAAGGTGCTTCGGTCCGCCGACATTGGCGATCAAGCGGACATGCAGTCGTTCAAACTGGCCTTTCGCGCGGCGACCAACAGCATCCTCGACGTGTACAAGCAAAAGAACGCGGCTGCGTCCATGATCTACTGCAAGAATCTGCTGCACTTTTTGACGGCGCACCACTTTAACCCGTTCAAGCAGCCCGAGTTTGACGCGCTGCAGTACTTTCAACGCACGTCGCACTACCTGTCCGAGCTCGACGTCGTGTACAAGGAGTACTGCCGCATGGCGGTCGGCCCCTCCGCGGACGCGGCGTACTGCGCGTTCATGAGCCAAAACGTCTTCAACCAAGTGATCGAGTGGACCGAGGACACCAACAAGGCGCACGCGTCGGCCCTGAGCGCGCTCCAGGTTCGCGCCCTTTGATGTGTTCGATCGTTGACGTCGTATGAATGTCCTAGAACGATTTGAGTGCGATTAGCCTCCAAGTCGCAAGTGCACAGGGCCAAGCCACGGCCATGAAGGAGCTCGCACAGCAAGACATTCTCAAGTCCGAGTCGAGTTTGAAGGAAGCCGAGCGCAAGTCCAAGGGCGAAGTCGACGCGCTCCGGGCGACGCTCGAGTACAAGACGCACGAGCTCGAGCACGTGCTCAACCACAATGCGACGCTGCGTCGGCTCGCCGACACGGCGCAAGCGAGCAACTTTCGCGCCAACGAAGTCGCGACCAACAAGAGCCCGCAGCACTACGCCGGGTACCTCATCAAGCAAGGACGCCCGATGCCGAACGCGGCGCCCGGCCAGCGCGTCAAGTGGCAGCAGCGCTACTTTGTGCTCAACGGCCCGGCCTTGCGCTACTACAACACGAAGGATGATTTTGAACGCGCACGCTCGGATGACCCGCCGATCGACGTCTCGCGCGCGGTCATTGAAGAGGACAAGGAGGTCCCGGAAGCCTTCTCGATCGCGTTCCCCGACAACTCGCACTATACGCTGCACTTGCACGCCAAGTCGACGTACGTCAAGGACGAGTGGATCGAACAGCTCCTCAAGGTGCGCCGCAACCTCTCGTCCAGTGGTGCGGGTCGCACCGCGCCCACGTCCAAGTCGGCGTCGTCGAGCTACGCGTCGCGCGAGTTTTAATGACTGCTTTGACGTCGCCGACCTACCAATATGAAGCGTATTCGTCTATTAGTCATCAGCGGGCACTTCATCGACGTCGGGGGCGTTGGCGAGGTCTTTGCCGCAGAGCTGCCCGGCGTTTTGGATGAGAATCGGCTTGAGCGGTAGTCCCGACGAGGTGCCGACCTCGTCGAAGTCCTTGAGGTACACCATGTCTTCAGCAATGAGCTGCCCAAAGACCACGTGCCGACCGTCGAGCCAGCTCAACTACGGTCGACAATGAAATCTTCCTGCAGACAAGAAGACACGCTGTCGGCGTACGTGGTTGAAGCACACAAAAAACTGCGACTTGTTGCTATTGGCTTGGTGGGCCATCGAGAGCGCACCGGGCACGTGCTATATAGTAGTAAGTCCTAACGCTTTCTACAAAGTAGACGGTGTCGTACTTTAAACATAAATCCCTACCATAGATCTGAGCAGTTATTCTCCTGCAGCCACATTACCTCGTCGTCAAAGTTGCGCCCAGATACGGCGGTGCCGCCAATGCCATTGCCTACGATACATCTATCGTAGCACCCACAGCCGGCGAGCTTGAAAGACCATGGGTGATGTCACCGCCTTGCATCATGAAGCCAGGCACAACGCGGTGGATCGAGCAGCCCTTGTACCTAAACTCCCTTGTCAACACCAAGTGTAATAATCGACATGTCGCCCACCAGAGCCACTTGGTGCGGGACGTCGAGCCCTTCTCGCCTAGAATGCATGACCACCGTGTGCGCTTCGGATACCGTGAGAGCAGACGACACCGGTGCAGAGCTGGCGAAAGTTGGTCGTTGTTAGCGGCAGCTGCTGGTAAAAAAGCTAAACTCGAATTAAGAAATGCTTCGTCTTCGCTGCGACGTAGCACCTCGAAGCGGAGGCGCCGAAGCGGGTCATTCCCGATCGCAATGTCGAGAAATACCACGGGGTTGCCGCGCCCCGACCCGATTGTAAACTCGTAGATGCTCTGCGGCGTCGCGCCCTCGGCCATCCCTTCCTCGCACCCCTTCAAGATCCGAAGTGCAATGTCACATGGTTATTTATTGTCGACTTCCACGCGTGCATCGGTGCGGCTCGTCCACGTCCGGAGGCCCGTGGTCTCTTCCCAGCTCATTATCGCCCCTTTCGAGGTGCTTAGAAGACCGACGCTCTCTTTCTCGAGGAGGCGCATCTGCACCTTCTTCTTCATCTCGTAGCTCATGGGCGATTCGCTAAGCTTTCTCCGACTCGTCTCGGGCGTACCGCGCGACGACAGCGCTTGGTTGCTGCTGCTATTCGTTTGGAATTTCGGGTGCAGTTTGAGGTTGAAAAAGCCCGGGGAAGAGTCGACGCGGTGGTAGCTCTTGTCGCCGAGATTCGTGTGCTGCGGCAGCTGGTTGCGCTCGTCAAGGTACTCGCGGTGCTGCTTGGAGCCCATCCACGACTCGAGCCGTGTCTCATAGTCGCGTGCTTGCTGCTCGAGTCGGATCTTGTGCGGCGAGTTCATCTTGTGCCGCTGCAATGGGCTCTGAGGCACGTACGTGGTAGCGTTGATGCGGATGCCGCCGCGTGGCTGGTCACTCTCGGTCACGAGCGGCATGGCAAACCGCTTGACGCCTTCGGGCCGCGGCTCGGGCGGTGGCGGCCGAACCTTGGTCGGAATGTTCGCAAAGCGATCGACCACCGGGTGCACCACAGGAAGCACGTGCCGGCGCTCGACGAGCACGTTGTTGCGCGACGCTGGCGAAGCCACATGGCGCCGCTCTTGACGCCACCACGGACGTCCTGGCGAGAAGGGCTCGTCCGCCATTTGTCTATATATACAGCCAGGTGGTTACGGGGACCGCTCTATGACGTGGCAGCATGGCCTTGCAGCATCATGCCCTAATGAAACCGTCGTCTTAGACAGGACAGAGCGCGATCGATACAGCCGTTGAAGCCTGCGTGCGATCGTTGGGACTTCAATGTGGCTTGTGCTGTTCATCGTCGACACATTCAACGCTTCCACTGGACGCTCTGCGGCAACGTCATCACGAGCAGTCGACGTCCGCATCCAAGGTCCAATGGCACCCTTGTGGTCTTCTTGTCGCCCGGCGAGCATACATAGCAAGTTGCGATACTTTGGGTGCGCAAGGGTCGCTCGGCCAAACAACCTGCAGCACAGCAACCTCGACCTTGCGATCTCGGGTAAACATGCATCATGACGATCGACCCGCCAACACGCGACAAAATTGTTGATGTAGAAATAAAGGCTACGCCGGTAGGTCGCTTTTCGTCGACACCAGTCGATCGATGGCTGCGAGAAGTGCGTCTTGAAAGTGCCCGAGGTTGATGCCGCGGCCGAGAAGCGTGCGGAGAGAAATTTGCATCTGCCCATCGTACGACACACTAACGACCTCGAGCATGTGGGCGTTGCGGTGGTCGAGGTCGGACGACATGAAGAAAAAGGCGTCGAGCGGTGAACCCGCAATGGTGAGACGCTCCGGGGGTCCGACGACGCTGCTGGCGTACATGGGACTCGACCAGGACCCGCGCGGCGGCACCGGGATGCGTCCGAGCAGCCAAGACGGCACGAGGGCGAGACTCGTGTCCCGACACCATCGACGCACTGCAATGTCGTTCTGGATCGACTGCCCCGCACGGGCCACCGCACGCAGTCGCTTGCTGGCATCGGCCATCTCGACATGCAGCGGCAAGCAGATGGCGACCAGGTCGGCTTGCATGCGGTCGACGTCGCCGCGTCGTGCGTCTACTGGCAGGCGCACCTGCAGCTGTAGTGACTCGACGAGCGCCGCATCAAACTTGGTCAACAGCACGGTGCGAAGGGCATCACCGAGTGCCGCCACGAGCACTTGGCTCACAGTGACGTGGTGGCGCCGCGCGATGGTCTGAAACGACGATAGCGGAATGCGGCAAAAGCACGTCTGAGGCACCTCCGTGGCTGGCGACAGGGCTGCGTAAAAGCCAGCGAGCGACCCAAACGCATCGCGCCGACCTTGGAAGCCCAGATGTGGTACGTGGGGGCGCATGACATCAGCCCACAGGCGACCAAGTGCGTAGACGTCGTCAATGAATCGTCTGCGACTACTAGTTCGCTTTGGCACGACGTTCGGTGGACTTGGAGCGTCCGCGAGAACGCGTTGGAGGAACTGGATGCAACCCATACCGTCGATGATGCCATGCGGGACGCGAAAGACGATGCGATCGCGCGGCCCACGCACCAGCCATAGCTCCCAGGATCGATAGGCGTCCATGGGCACGGTCGCGATGCGGTCAACCAGCGTCGCCGTCGCTTCGTCGGACGAGAGCTCCAAGAAGTGCGGGGCGAGCGGTGTGCTTTCTCGCACTGCATGGTATCGTTGGGTTCTCGGGTCATACAGGCGAAACAAGGTCGCAAACATAGGACGCGTACGCGTGAGGCGCGGTGCAACGACAGCGTGCAGCTCGGCCAGACTCAGAAGAGATGTAAGCTCAAAGACGCCCATGGTGTTGCGTCCGGCCAGGAGCGCGTGGTTCATCAATTCCAGGGGCGGCGTCGGTTCGCCGTCGCCATCGACATCGACAAGCTGCCTCGGAAGCGACACGACCTCTTCGTCGACATGGAGACATGTGTCGAGCTCGCTGGCATCGGCAAAGGTGAGGGCGAGCATGCGTGGGCTCAGGTACGTCACTTGACAGAGCGGCTTGATGCGCGGTGGTTGCGATGGCTCGAACGGTACGCCGCCCACGGCGCGCTCGAGGTAGACAACGCGACGGCCATGCAGAGATAAGTTAGCAGACGTCGCTAGCATCGGTGGATGCAGCGTATACAGGTAGCGTCGACGTGGCAGGCGGTGCAGCATGGTGCTGCCTTCTCGACGACTTTTCAATCTCGCAAAGGGTATCCGGTATATCAACCGGATGTCCATTTGCAATATCTTTCAGCTCCAAGCTTCCATCGTCGTAGCATGCGCTTCCGTGCCCAGCTCGTCGTGCAGGTTGACGGAGTCCTCAAGCACTCGAAGCGTCTCTACGACCTCGTCATTGACAACGATGGCATGGTCGTCTTCAAGGGCAATGGGTCCTTCACGCGGTCCTTTCCCAAGCCGGACAAGGTCGTCATCGGGAAGCGCGTGCTGCGCATCTCGCAGGGCGCCCGCCACTTTCTCTGCCGGTTCCCCGACCCGACGGCGTTTGCTGCATGCGTCGTGTATCTCCAGACTCTACGCATCGCGCTTCTGGACGTGCCGGCGTTCTTGTGCCAGGACAGCAAGAAGCTCGCGAGCCTTGCGTACTGCCGGCAGTATTTCGCGGACCCGCGACTGCCCGCGGCCAGCGCCAACGTCCAGAGAAGCTTCAACAACCTCATCTTCAAGCGATAAATACCGACTTCTCATCCTCATGCCAGCGTCGGCGGCGTATACGTCGACTCGAGCGTCACGCTGTTGAAGTAGTAGTACACCTGGTTGGCCTCGTCCCAGTACTGCGTCCACTCGCCGAGCTGGACGGGCGCGTAGATCGAGACCATCGGCTCGACAAAGCTTGTCGGTCGATCGAACGTGCGCTGGCCCGTCTTTTCGTTGAAGAAGTACGCCACGTTGTTGGTCACGTCCACCTTGCGCACCCACGCCATGCACCGTCGTCGGCCGACGCGGTGAACGCCTCCGGCGGCACGTACGAGCTCACTTTGGTCGATGTGTTGAAATACCACTCGCGCCGCGCCTCGTGGTCAATGTACTTTTCCCAGTCTCCAAGCACCACGTCTGGGGACCGCGACTCGCCGACGCGAAGGAACCAGCCGTCGAGCTCGTCTTGCTCCATCTCGGACGGCCAGAGGGACGGGAACTCGCCGTCGCCATAGTCGATACGCTTGCCGTAGTAGTCGTACAGCGCGCGGAAGGCGTGTCGCCGGCGCCGCCCGCCGGCGTGGATGGCCTCATAGCACTACATCTCCGTCCATGAGGATCGCGCCAGTCGATCTATCGATGGCAGCTCACCGCTTTGCAGAAGAACTCCTGGCAGTCTTGGCACTCGTTGGCCGCGTCCGCGACGTCTACGATACGTCATTCGAGGAAGTTGGATAACGACGCGGGATACCGCAGTCGTTGCACTTGGGACGCGGCAAGAGGTCGAGCATGTCCTGGGGCATGCGGTGTCGAATCTCGCCCGTGTCTTGGTGCTACATGTAGGGTTCCTTTGGTATAAAGCAAGATAGAGAATGTCGTCGTACGTAGTAGGTCGTGGTGCCGTTTTCGGGGTTGGGCACTTGCTTCCATCGCTTCTTGCGCGCCAGGACCGCGGCCTTGTACCGGTCACGGCCTTTCTTCCCCCGCCAGCCAGCTTGAATCTGCGTGGCCGACGCATGTAGCAGGGTGGCTTGGGCGAGCAGGCGCTACGAGCATCGACGTTGTCAGGAACGATCTCTGGTTGTTGCAGCGAGTCTACGCGCATGGCGTCGCTTTGCAGTTGCGCGGCCTGCTGTCGCGCCCGACGACCGCGGTAGACTGTCTGGAGCTTTGTCGCGGCGGCGGAGCGCGCTTCAAACTCGGCATCCTTTAGAAACTTTAGCATCTGCATGCCCATGCGACCTAATTGGATCGGTGATCGCCCAGCTATGATGGTGTCGACAACGAGCCTTCGTAATACCTTGTTTGCAACGCCACGCACTTTGCACCTTGCGTGCCGCCACGACCAGCGCCTTCTTGTGCTGCAGTAACTGGAACGTTTGGTGCTGTAGCATCGCACGGCGCGCACGAAAGCGTCGCTGGACCCGTGTGGCCGCGGCAGCCTCGGCGACCCGGCGGTGCACGCGGTCGAAGAAGAGACGGCGCTCGCGCCGCCGCCGCAGTGCGCGCTGGAGCTCGGTGGCCGCTCTCTCTCGCTCGGCGATGCACGCGGCCATCTCTTGTCGCAGCCGCCGCGCGACAGACCGCGCCGCGCGCCCGCGGTAGATGGTTTGCAGCTTGCGCGCCGCGGCCTCTTGCTTCCGATGGTGTGCTAGCACAACCTGCAACACAGACGCCATGAAGTTGTGACAGACCACAAGACGTTGCCCGACCTGATGGTGGGCACGGCAGCGCTGGCGCCAACTGAAACATCGCATGGCGCGCTGCAAAATGCGCGCGGCCGTGTCCCGTGCGACAGCCCGAGCGTGCACAAGCCGACGCAACGTGGCCAGCTCCCGTCGTGCAATGAAGCTCCGCCAGCTCGTTTGGATACGGACGACCATGCGCAGCATGTGGGCTTCCTCGGCGCGGCGCCTCCGCCGCTTCGCTTCGTCGCGCGCTCGCTTGGCGCGGTACGTACTCTACTCGTCCACGGGTGTGGATCGTGCGTTTGACGCGCGAGAGTACTATACCTGGAGGAGCGTCGCGGCCTGCGTCTGCTTGCGGAGCTGCATGCGGCGCACCCACACATACCGCCGTGCTTGCCGTCCGCGGAAGACACTTTGTATGCGTCGAGCGGCCCAGCGCATGAGCGCATCGTCTCGCTGCGCGGCTGCTGCGCGGCGCGCGACCTTGCTGCGGTAGAGGCACTAGGCATCACGGAGTCGTGAGAGTGGCAATCATCTCACGATCGGATACTTGGATCATGATGGCGGCCTTCCAGCAGTGCCCGTACTCGTCAATGAAGAGCATGTCGTTGGCGCGGTGCTGCGGGAAGATACCTCGGCGACCACCCATCTCCCGCAAGGCGCCGTACTTCCACGCCGCCCGAAGCGGCTTGAGCGTCGCGAACGAAATGGCCGAGGCCTAGACGCGAGTGACATGTGTGCAGGCTGTATACAGCGTACCGACACGTCGAGGTGCATGAGGTGGGTGCAACGGTCGGCGAGCCACGACATGCCGACCATCGTGATGCGCCCAAGACCGACGAGCCAGAGGTACTGCAGCTTGACGAGGCCGTCGCAGATCGCAAGGAGCCCCATGTCGTCGATCAACCCACAGCCTACATGTCGTTGTGGTGTAAGAGCTTATGCGCGCCTCCTACCAGTGAGGTCGAGGGATGTGAGGAGGTGGCAGCCGCGACAGACACGCTGGAGCCCGCCGCTGGAAATGCGGTCGCAGTTGCGCAGCTTGAGCGTCTCGAGCTGGCGCAGATGCCGGCCGATGCTCGCGAGTGCGTGGTCGTCCACGAGCGTACATTCGTTGAGCACAAGTGCCGTCAGTTGGACGCAGTGGGCAGCCAGCGCGCTCACACCGTCGCTCGAGATCTTGGTGCACTGCGTGAGGGTCAGCGTCAAAAGGTGTTGCCAGCGGAGCTTGCGCAGCGCCGTCTACGTGATACGTCAGTGTGTCGACGCCGATAGGACCACTTTGTGTACATCGTCGACGCGAACGCACTTGGTCAAGTCGACGTGCTGTAGCTGCGTGCACCGAAGACCGAGCGCTGCCAGACCGAGCGGCTCGGCGGCGTGTGCAGAGGCCAAGACGAGGCCCTTCATGCGCAGGGCGGAGAGTTCGTGGCACCCAAGCGAAACGAGGTGGAGCCCGACGTCCGACATGCGCACGCAGTGGGAAATGTCCAGCGTCGCCAGTTGCAGGCAGCCTTCGGCGAGCGCACGCAGCGCATAGTCCGTGAGCTTGCTACAGCCCGAGACGTCGACATGCGTTAGCGCCGCGCAGCCCAATCCGAGCCAGCTCAAGCCCGCGTCCGTAATGTGGTCGCAGCCCGACACATCGATGTACTACAAAACCATAGCCAAGACGAAGCCAAATGACACACAAGACAGTAGCTCGTACTTGGAGGACCTTGCAGTGCTCCGAGAGAGACAAGAGACTCATGTCGGTGATCTTGTACAGAAACTCCGTGCGCTGGAGCTCTAATCGGGTGAGGTCCAAGCACGCGTTGGCCACGGCATGCAAGCCTTGGTCGGATATCTAGCACGCCGCAACGTTCAACCAAACTCGTGCAGCAGTAGCATTCTAGCCACCTCTTTACAGCCGTTGAAGTTGAGGCAGTGGAGGCGAGGACAGTACTGGGCGAGCGCTGTCAAGAGTGCGTCGGTGACCTACAGAGATGCCATGACGTCGCGCAGGAGCCGCACCACGTACGTGCACGCAGTGCGCGACATCCAGCGCCCGCAGCCGTCGACAACCGTGCGTCACTTTGATGAGCGCATACTCTGGGAGCTGTCGGCATCCGCTCAAACTTAGGTCTACCGGAGGAGTGTGCACACTTGGCTCGCTCCAGATGTGGCACCTTCGAGGTAGGCGCAGCCGTCGCCGATGGCTGCGACCCCCGCGCCTTCAAGCGTCATCATGTGGCTCAGATCCAGGCATCGCAAGTACGTGCACGTGCCCGCAACGGCCCGCACGAGCGTATCCGTGAGCTACAAAATGCTTCAAAATGAAAAAGGAAGAAAAGGAGAAAATTGCCAACTTGGGGACAGCGACTCAGCACGAGCGTGTGCAGGAGAGGCCCCATGGGCCGCAAGACGCCGAGTACACCCGTATCTGTAATCTAGCGGCTATCGTCGATGCATCGTGATGGGTTCCATCATGGCCTACATGCTCGCCATTGCGCAAATTGAGTTTCATCTCGGCCGGCTTGGCGGTCTCTATGCACGCTTGAGCTGCGATCACCCAAGACAGCTTACTGCCGGACGACGACGGCCTCTCGGGCACCTGGTTGGACAGCGGCGATTGCAGTGCGGCAAGGCGCGCCATGCACGAGTCGAACGCAATGAGCGTCCACATCTGCACTTGCCAAGGAGCCATTTCAGCCGATCGACAAGAGGGTGGTACCGAGAGATCGACGTCGGTGCCCCGCAGTAATTCAGGCGGCAGCTCCTTGTAGGCGAGATCCAAGGACATGGCGAGAAGGTCCTGGGCCCGTGCGAGTTTCGGTCTACAGACGCGCATTACGAATGATGACGGGGCCAGCAACGATGGCTACGAGAGGGGCAGCGCGTCGAGACGAACGCCCATGTGCGCCTTGCGCTTGCGACTTCTGTCGTTCAAATGAGAGGGTCGGTGTCTGAAGAGCTGGTTGTACCGAAGACGCGGAGGCATGTGTCGGTTTCACTGACGCGGATCAATATTTTCCCAACCGGCTTGGCTCTTCCCGCCAAAGGGGACGTGGTACGTAGTAGGCATGTACACTATTGTCCGAGTTGTACACTTCCTGGCCTTGCCGTTATAATGGGTAGTATGTATATTACAGTGTAAATAGCAGACGGACGGGTTAGCCAAAGACGAGGGCATTCGGCGATGGCGTCTTGGGTGCGCGTCGCACGGGCGTCGATGCGTCGTCTTGGTTGCTCGCGCGGGGCGTGGACTTGGAGGTTTTAAGCTGGCGCTTTAAACCCATGATGGTGTCTTCGTCCCGCGCCATGTTGGTGTTGGCGTGGTGCAACAGCAGTCGCAGCTCGTCATTGTCCTTTTGCAGCGACGCGATCGCATCGGTGTCTTCCGGTCCTTCTTCGATCGTGTCGAGGCGCTGCAGCTGCAGCTTGGCCTCGGCGAGCGCTCGCTGATACGACGCTTTCTCGAGCACGAGCGCCCGGTTCTCTTGCATGAGACTTTGGATCTCGCCTTCAAGTTCTTGGCGAGCACCGCGCTGGGCCTCTTCGTCTTGGCGCCGTTGTGCATCCAGCTCTGCCGCGCGCCCGGCTCGCACTTGCTGGAGCTGGACTGTGAGCGCGTCGACGTCGCGCTGAAGGCGGGCCATCGCGGCCTCGTAGTACGCCTGGGCATTGTTCGCCGTCGGGGATGCAGCGTCCGTATCGGGCGATGTCGCATTGTTCTCGCCGTGGCTCTTCTCGATCCGTGCCACGAGGAGCGTGAGCTTCTCGAGCCACTCGTCCTGAAGCGTCTTGTAGGCCTGTTTGGCGGTCGCAAACTCCTGCAAGAGATCGTCGCGGGCCTGGACCGGCGTCGTCGGCTCGGGCTGTTGCTGCTCGCAGGTCGCTGGTAAGGACGACGAGCGTGTCAAGCGCATTGTCTGCGCATTGGCCGACCGCCATCGCACAGGCATGGGCGCTTCAGGCGCTTGGGGATGCATCGGTCTTTGCTTGGGCTGGAGCTTGGGCGTCGGTCGCATCGACTGCTTGCGGAGGAACTCTACCTTGGCAGGCGCGGCGCGGACCCGTGTGCTGCTGCTGCTTGTCTCGCGCATGTACGAGCGCAGGTCCGCGGACCCGGCCATCTTGCACTGCGCGAAACCCAGTTTGATTTTAACCAATCCGCAACCGCTGGCGTTTTGCGCCGACGGTTCGCTCCCATGATTGATTGATACATCGAGTTCATCGGCCTGAGGAGGCCAACGACGACGAGCTACGATGTCCTCCATCGTCGTGCTACTGTGCTTGATACTGCGGGCTTGATACTATTCACTTCTAGAGACTTTGTGGATATATAGCATATGCCTTGTGCAAATATATCAATTGATAGAGTATTGAGCGCAGAGTGAACATTCGCCAACCTTCACCACCATGCTCCGGTCGACGGCCGCGCGCGCCTTCCCGTCGGGCGTCCTAAAGCCTCTGGCCCAAGCACCGCTTGGTCTTCTGCGCCACCACAGTGGCCACGCCCACGGCGACCACGACCACGACCATGACCACGACCATGACCACGACCACGACCATGACCACTCGCACGATCACGACCACGGGCACGGCCATGCGGCGATGGGCGATCTGGACGAGGCTGGCCACTCGGGCCCGCCACCAATGGTGCGCCACTCCAAGGGCAAGAACCACTCTGGTCTGCAGAAGCAAGTGTTTACGTTGTACCGGTCGTACCTGCGGGTGGCGTACGAGAAGCAGCGTCTCGGCGAGGAGGGCACGGTCGCCTTTGTCCGCGACCGGTTCCGCGCCGAGGCCCACTCGATCGACCGCATGAACTTCCACATGATCGAGTACCTCCTCCGGAAGGGCGAGCGCCAAGTGAAGCAGTTCAAGGCCGCCAAGAACGCCACGTACGTCAAGCCGGCGCAGCATTAAAATACAATTCCACCATTTTATTTCTATTTTGTGTGGGATGGCGGCGACGACGACGTGCGGGTCGCTCTACCCGCGGGCCGGGAAGCTCGTCTTCGAGCTCAAGACGCAGCTCGGGTACCTCGACATGGGCGCAAGCAGCAGCACCGAGATGCAGGCCCGGGAGACTGCGGCCGCCCTCCGCTCGCTCATCGACCAGCTCGACTCGCTCGTGTACTCGGAGAACCCGACGGGCCGGGACATTTGGATGAAGAAGGTCCAGCAGCTCCGCGAAGACTATGCGCTTCTTAACAGCACGCTCGAGCAGCGCTGCATCCAGTCGAGCCGGTCGCAGATCGAGCTCCAGGAGCGCCAGAAGCTCCTGTCGCGCCGAGGCAACGGCGCGCAGAACGACATTGCGATGCTCTCGCAAGAGTACGACTCGCTCGGCCGCTCGTCGCGCATGGTCAACGATCTCACCGACCTTTCGTACGCGACCCTCGGCAACCTCAGTACGCGCGCTCCTCTCCCATGAGCACGATGTATATCATGCGACGACGTAGGCGACCAGCGCGACCGCATGAAGGGCGTCCAGCGCAAGGTCCTCGACGTGGCCAACCGCCTCGGTCTCTCGAGCTCGCTCCTGCGCATCATCGAGCGAAGAGACACGGTCGACAAGTGGATCGTGTATGGCGGCATGGTGTTCGTGCTCGGCTTTATGTATGTGTGCGTCGCGTACCTGCGCGGGTAAACCGAACACATCATTCATCATCATCATCATACTGCTCCTCGCGGGTTTCTCTCTCGACGACGCTTAGGACGACTGCAGGAACGGATGCTTGAGCGCCTCCTTGACCGTAATGCGCTTGGCCGGGTCCAAGATGAAAACCTTGTCGAGAAGGTCCTTCAAATCCAGTAGCTGCTTCTTGTCGTCGCTGGGCGCGCGGGCGGCAGCGAGCGACGTGCCCAAGTCCTTGGTTGCGTTCATGTTGTTCATCACGCGCAGCATTGGCTTGGCTACGACATCATATGAGCAGACGCCCGAAGAAAACCATCATGGATCTACCCGTGACACGGTCGATCTCGCGGCTAATGAAGCGGAGCTCTTCGTCAAAGTGGGGCTCCATGAGAAACTTGTCGACGTACACGGCACGGTGGCGGCGCAGGAGCTTGGCAGGGAACCGGCCCTTGACCTCCATGAAGAGCTTGAGCATCTCGTTGTTGGTTTGGCCAGGAAACATGACGCGGCCCGTGTACATTTCGTAAATGCAGCAGCCAATGCTCCACATGTCAACGGGCGCGTCGTACGCAAGCCCGAGGATGATCTCGGGCGCGCGGTAAAAGCGGCTCACGAGGTACGGCGTCGGGTCGTGCGCGTCAGGTCCGGTCGACTTAAAGGCCGAGCCAAAGTCGCAGAGCTTGACCATCGACTGCTTCTCGTCCAAGAGCATGTTGTCGGGCTTGATATCTATCGAGCCGTCCATATGAGCCTATCTTCATGACGAAGATCGCACCGGCGTGGACGACTTGGTGCTTCGAGAGGTGGTCGAGTCCAAACAGCAGTTGCTTGCAAAACACTTTGACGCCGCGCAGCGAGAGGCCGTCGCGCCCACCAAACTTTTTCATGGCCTCGCGCACGTTCATCTGCATCGGCTCAAACACCATCGCCGTGTGGTTGCGGTGCTCAAAGGTGGAGAGGAGCTTCACAATGTACTTGGCCTTGTGTCCGACCTGCAGCTCGGTGAGCAGCCGGATCTCGGTCTGCGCCGCCTCCCGCATCGTGTCGTTGGCGCGAATGAGCTTGATCGCGACCGTCTTCTCGTCGCCGTGTATGCGCTTGCACAAGAGAACGGTCGAGAAGACACCTTTGCCAGCCTAGAGCAGCGTGTGAGGAAAAGGAAGGAGGGAAAGGGCCGGCGTACATTGCCCACGACGCGGAACTCGCCGTTGAGAACTTCGCCAATTGTCGGGCGGTAGTAGCCCTCGCTGTCGTCGCAGTGGCCGCGCGTGGCTTTGAGAATCGCGGGGCGGGCCGGGGCGTTCGGCACGCGTGCGGCAAAGTCATCGTCGTCAGCGGCGAACATGTCGAAATCGTCGTCGTCCTCGTCGGCAGGGGCTTCGTCTTTTGGGGGCGATGGGGCAGGTGCGGCTTCTTCCGCGGGTACTTCGACGACAGTCTCTTCCATCATCGCGCGCTCGTCCGACTCGTTGCCCGCCTTGGCCGTCTTTCGCAGATCCAAGTCGAAGCACTCGTCATTCGAGTCGTCGTCGTCGTCGTCGTTGTCGTCGGCTTCGTCGACCTTGTCGTTGACGATGGTCGCGCTGTCGACACTACCTTGGTCTTCTTGTGTGCTTGGCAGCTCGGCCATGCTGGGCTCGGGCGATGTGATGGGCACCGCAGGCGGGGCGACGACGGGGGCGGGCGGCTTTTTGAAGCCCGCGATCGACGACTTGGCAGCCGCAAGCGCTTTGAGAATGTCCATTTTCATGGAGCCCACGTCAACCTTGGCAATGCCCGAAGGCGTGACAGAGGTCGACGGAGCTAGGGCAGCAGAGGGTAGGTTCGACGTCACGGAAGAGTCAGTCTCGTTTACACTGGGAGTACTCTCGGTCGTCTCGGGGTCGACAGTGCGCTTAACCTCCTTCGTGCCACGAGTCAATTCAGTCAGCTTTATCGGGATCGTGACGGAGACAGGCTTACTCGCTGCAACCACGACCGGCGAGTGCGACACGCTGAAGATGTCGGCGATCGAGCGCACGGCCGCCGACTCCTTTACCTCCGGCTTTGGCGCTGGCCCGATCGTTGGCGACGACTTCAACGCCGGCTCCTTCGTCGCGACCTTCTTCGGCTCGGCCGAGCGCGACCGGCTGCGCCGTTTCGGACGCTTGTGGCCTCGGCGAGGCGACCTGTCGCGGCTGCGGCTGCGGTGGCGACGGTCCCGGTCACGACGGCTACGCTCGCGCGATCGGCTTCGGCTGCGTCCGTGGCGGCGCTTCCGGTCCGGCGACTTGGACCGTTGCTCGCGGGTCGTTGTCGGCTTGGCGTCCATGCTATGCTGCTCTCGTGCACCGCAAACCGAATCGAATTCAAGAAATCGGCCGTTGCGGATTCGCTAAAATTCAAGCGCGTGTACACTCGGATTGGTAGAAATAGAACGCCCGAAACGACGATAAGTGGATAAAATTTGAAGCCTGACGCCTTTTTATTGGTGGAGCCATAGATTTGCGCAGTGTGCATTTTGGATCGCGACCCTTCGTTAACGGAATGGAGGAAGCCGTGTCGCTGCTGGAGGAGCAGCCGTACGTGGCCATGCGGAGCAACAGCCCCGAGCGTCGTGCGAACGCGATCCATCGCCGCCGAAGCACTATCGGCCTGGGCCGCCGGCCGTCGCTCATCCGAACGCCGTTCCTGCCCGAGGACGAAGCCGACGAGCTGCTACTGCGCGCCAACGAAGCGCCCGACTGCCGTGCGCCGACCGCAGCTGGTGCGAAGCGACTGCATTGCAATACTTATTCCATGGATGCGTAGAAACGGTGCAGCTCATGAAGGCCCATCAGTACCGCCTCCAGCAGTTTGCCAAGCTCCAGGGCATCACGGGCATGAGCTCGATGACGCTCTGCTTCACACCCGAGTACGAAGCAGGCTACCGCGAGTACATTCAGCGAGGCGCCGTGCGACGCACGCGCATCTGCTTTATGCTTGGCTTTATCGGGATCGGGTTGTACTTTATCTGGGAAGCGACCCGGATTGCCTTCTCGACGACCGCGTACGTTATTGCGTTTGGCCCTGGGCTCGCACCCTTTGGTGTTGGCTTTGCCTGCACGTTCCTTCCGTCCATGCGTCCGCACATGGAAGCGCTCTTCCTCACGGTATCTTGCAAGTTGACGACTTGTGTGCTTGAGACAACTGTACGTACTAGGTATTTGCCATCGAAGCCGGCGCGCTCATCCTCTTCAAGCCCATCGTGGGTCAAGCAGGACCTGTCCTTCCGCTTCTCATCTTGCTCATACCTGTCTTTGGCGTCACGCGCGTGCGGTACGACCGCTTCTTCCTCGCTTTAGGTCCAACATGCAGGCACGTAGGTTCATCCATAGCTGCGTACTCGGCTGGTCCGTCTTTGCCACCTACATTTGCGTGCAGCTCCTTGCGCGGTCGATCTGGCTCGTGCAGTCGGACCGGCCGTCAGGCATTTTTTACCAAGGGCTCAACTACGGCTTGATGGTGCTGGGCGGTATGGTGTCGCATTACCGCCAGGAGCTGTTGCGCCGACGCAACTACGCACTACTGCTACCGTTTGGCTCGAGTCCCGACTGCTCGGACGCACTGGACAAGCCAAAGTTTTCGAAAAAAGCACTTTTACACAATGTCTCGTTGGCGTTCAAGAACGACCGCGTCGAAGCCACCTTCTTGCGCCATTGGTACCTCATCGACCCCTTCCCGTTCGAGAATCCGAATGCCGCCGTGCTCCACGAAGGCGCGTTCAAAGTCGTGCGCTTCTCTATAGCCACTGCGATTATGAACCAAACGTTTCTCGCCATCCAGGTACGCTGAGTTCGATGTGAGAAGGTGCCGCAAGCGTTGGTACATACGTGTAGGACTACCGCCTCTTGGGCGCGGCACCGTCGATCCAATCGCTTGGCTACATCCTTCGCTTTGGTGTCGTGGACGTCGCGTACCTCGGGGCGGCTGGCTTTATGTATGTCGTTGGCAAGCTGTACGTCCGCCAGTGGCGCGAGCAATCTCTACCCATGGACAAGATGCCGCGCCTCGCAACCACGCAGCTCAACGACGTCCTCGCGAGCCAGATCTTTGCGGCTCTGGTTGTGCTCGTGCACACCACCAGCATGGCGACGCTCCTCTGCGCAGTCGCCTCGTCGTCGTCGTCGTCGCTCGCCGATGTGTACCTCATGGGGTTCATCAACGCCGTGCTCTTTAGCCACCGGTCCGGGTTTCGCGTCCGGCATAAATATGCCGTCGGCGTCACGGCGGTCGTTGGCGTCGTTGTCACCATCGTCTTGAGCCAGGTAGGACCGAATCGCATCTCATCGCCATGCATGAAAAGCGTTGCAGATGCTCGTGCATTGGCTGGCGCTGCGCTACGCGTGCTACATCGTCACGGTCCTCTTCCTCGGCGCCATGATCTCGCGCGAAGAAGAGAGCTTGCGCCGGAGCTTCTTTATCCTCAAGTCGATCCGGTCGCTCGAGTTTGAAGAGTGGTTTTTGAATATCTGCAACATTCAAGGTACCGACTGCAGCACATAGGTCGTGGTTGATGTTATGGACGTAGACTGGGTGCGCGCGCGGCTCGTGCAAAAGGCTGCCAACGCACGCCGCAATCTCCCGCATGCCAAGAAGCCGCTGATGGCACCGGCTGTGGACACGAGCTCGCACCTCTCGCAAGCGTCCAAATGGGGCATGTACGGCGAGTGCGTGCACGTCGCCCTCGTCGCGCTCGACCTCGTTCTGCGCATCTACCAATAGAAGAGGTCGTCGGATAGCGGCCTCGCATTTGGTATCAGTGTTATATGCATGTCGCTCTCTTCTGTCTGCTCAACTCTGCATTCCTCTCATATATAGATGTTTGGACAACTTGTCGTCCGTGCATCAAAAGAATGCATAACAGAGAAGAGACGTTAATGTGCATGTAGTAGCAGGTCAGGTTACGCAATTGCCTACGCGTTCATCTTGACGAGCTCGTTGATGCCGCGGACCGTGTCCATGGGCACCAAGACGAGGCGCAGATTGCCTTGGTTGACGTTGATCTTGCGCAAAATGTTGAGGTACTGGATAGCCGTGAGATAGTCGACGGCGCGGACGCCCACTTCGTTGATCGCTATGTTGACAAGTATGAGCAAATTGACGTCGAGCGGTGGTTGCTCTACCAGCGCGAATCGCTTCCATCGACTGCGCCTCGGCCTTGGACGAGAGCATCTTGGCTTCGGCGAGACCCGTCGCCTTGAGCAAGGTCGACGCACGGTCGCCCTCGGCGCGCAGCACGAGGCCGGCAGCGTCCCCGCGCGAGTTGACGATGCAGCTTTCGCGCTGCCCGTCCGCCTAGGAACACGCAGCACGTCAAATGGCGCAATGGCGACTGCAACGAACCTCCAAGACTTCGGAGCGGCGCTCGCGCTCGGCCTTGATCTGCTGCTCCATCGCGAGCTTGATGTCGTTGGGCGGCACAATGTCAAAGATCTCGACGCGCGTGATCGTGACGCCCCAGCGCTCGACGTCGGGCTTGACCTACAGTGACCAGATATAAGGCTCCCGGTCGTCGAGAGCGTAGAGGAGGCGTACGCGGTTGAGGAGCTCCGTGTTGATCTCGTCGCGGGACGAAAACGTGTCGTCGAGCGTCATGGTCGCAATGATGTTGCGCAGCGTCGCCTGCGTGACGAGCTCGACCGAGTCAGGGATGTTCTGCGCCTTGTACACGGCGAGGCGCGGGTCCACGATGCGAAAGTACACGAGCGCGTCAATGTCGATCATGACCGTGTCCTTTGTAATGACATGCTGGCGCGCAAACTCGATCACGTGCTCGCGCATGTCGACGGTCTCGCTCATGATCGAGACGGACGGCGCGTCGCCGCTCATGATGCGGCGGCTCAGGTGGCGCCACGCGATCGGGCGCACGCGCTCGATGACGGGCACGATAAAGTGGATGCCAGGCAGCAGCGTCATCTTGTACCGGCCAAAGCGCTCGAGGATCATGACCTCGGCGTGGTTGACGACGCGGATGCTCAGCGAGAAGGCGAGGAAGACGAGGAGCCAGAAGACGCAGACGACCACGATCACGGCCACGAGGCCCGTCGTAGCGATCGGCATGAGGGAAGGAGCTCGAAAGATGGGATGTCCTGTCCAACACGGCGCTGGCTCGGCGATGGACACGGCCGGATACGATCCGGATAAGCAGAAACAAGCAGGAGTGTACACGGCCGTTCGGACGGTTGTTGGCCGTTCCAAGAAACAGACGCCACCGTCAAACTCGATCGTATGTATTTACAAGAAGGTTCCGGATACGTATTTGGTATCCGGACTGCAAATGCGATTGAGGTCATGACGTGGAGAGCTGACGTCGAGAGGGACCGGTAGTGCTCGACCTGCCTCGTAGAAAACTGCATCGACGGCGCTTCGGGTGACCAGAGTTGGACCGCCGTCTACTCTGACACGGTACGCACAATGTAGTCCTTGGTTCGATGCGACACTGCGTCGAACGGCAGCGTTCACCTCGGCTACCGTTGTTTAACCAGAGCAGTAGAATGGCTATTGTTTGAGCATTGAGTCGAGTTGCACGGATTTGGACGGTGATGAGTCTTTGGACATGATGTATCGATTCCTCCGCAAAGTCTACCGCCGGTCCAAACCTGGCTTTTTCATTTCTACTGGTAAAGACCGACTAGGGTCCCATATCCTTTCCCCTGTACAAAAGCGAGACGACACTCGACATGCGAGCGAAGAAGCTCATATTTCGATCGCGATTGAAATGCAAGCACCTCGCTGGAACCCTTCGACGAACGCGGCCTCCAAGGCCAAGCCAGGACCGATGACGTCGGCCCGTACGACGCGCACCGCCTCGACTGTCTCCACGCGCACGCAGCGCGCGGCAACAGCGCCGGAAGCGATGGCCGTCCCTGGACGCCACGCCCGTGAGCTCGCTGCCTTGCGCACCGAGTA